CTGCATATTTCTCATGCGTATAGCCCTTTAAGCTCGACGACGCCGTAAGGGAAACGTAGAAACATACCCCGCAAACGACAACGGGTCCAAAGGTGGATAGATTTGGGAACGGAGCGCTCTGGGGGGTCCAACGGGGCCGTGGGGTCGCCTATACGGTCATGCGTTTCATAGCCCCGCCTCTCCCCGCCTCTCCCCACCTCTGCTGCTCACCTCCGCAAAAGTACACTGCACACTGAATTCAGATTATTTATCTTTATCTCGATATGAACATAAACGCGAGTGAAGTCTAATCTGACAGGACGGAGACACGCAGCTCCTCCGGCTGTGAAGCAGCGAGAGCAAAACACACACTTCAAGTCAGATCACCACCCTTAGCTATTTTAATTACCTCTCAAACTACCTAAACTAGTTATAAATATGTTTATTTTTACTGTCGGGTTTACTTACTGGATCAGCTGCTGCATGAGGAAGCATGAAGATTTAAACTTTAACACACATTGACCGGCGAAAAACTCTGCGCGGTTCCCTCGGCCCCCACCCATGGATGTGCCCCCACCGCGGAGAATAAACAGAAGTGCAGCCATGACAACCATTCTTCTTCGCTGCTTTTGTGGAGGAAGTTGCTGCTTTTGTGGAGGAAGTTACAGTGCCACGTACAGGTTCGGCATATGTACTGCAGCTTTTCCAGCGGTTGGATGTAAACGGAGCCGTCTCGTGGAGCTTGAAACAATCCGGTGTATATTGCGTGTGGTCGGAAGGTTTTTTGCGGTTGCGTTTGCGTTACTCCGATGCGTTTTGCCGTATTTGTCCTCGTGGAGCCGGGGCCTTACTGTAACTCCACTTCACTTGTTGTGGTTAGAGCTGGCACTGACCCAAAAGTGTGAAAGCTGTTGTCAGTCAGGTTTATACAGCTGTTAATAATTTAATCCGGAAGATTTAAGGAGCTGTCACCACCAGTGAATGTAAATTATGTTAACGTGAATGTTTCAGTAAATTGCTCAATCCATCAAACGGATAACTCCATTGAACTCCTTTGTTACATTCGGAACATAGTGACAACACTACAGTTGCAATCTAAATTATTCAATCCCCATTGCACATTGGCAAAATATACAATTTCTCAGCTGTTTGCAATACACAAATTAAACAAGGACTGTTTAAGTGGTGCAATGAAACTCATATTACAAGGGTTTTTATCCAACATCAACACAAAATGCTACTTTTAATGACTACTGTAGTTTCAAAATTATTCAACCCCTTCATGACAAGCATCTTCAGCACCCGTTTGCGGTTATGACCTGCTGCAAACATGACACCAGATTCTGACAGCGTTCCTGAGGAATCTTAGCCCATACCTCATGGGCAATGGCCTCCAGTTCAGTAATATTCTTGGGTGTGCGTTTTGCAACCGCATTCTTCAATCCAAACAGAGATTTTCTATGGGGTTCAAGTCAGGCGACTGTGACGGCCACTCTAGAATCTTCCATTTCTTCTTCTGAAAGCAAACAGGTATGCTTGGGACCATTGTCCTGTTCCCCAATGGGACCAATGACGCCCAAGCTTCAGCTTCCTCAGAGATGGCATGATGTTTTTTCATTATATTTCCTGATACATGACTGAATCCATCGTGCCCTCCACACGCTGCAGGTTTCCAGAGGCAGCAAAGCAGCACCAGAGCATCACTGAGCCACCGCCATGCTTCACTGTAAGGCAGGGTGTTCTCATTCTTCTTCCTCCAGGCATACCGCTGATCCATAGGCCCGAAAAGTTCCAGTTTTGTTTCATTGCTCCACAGAACAGAATTCCAAATTCTTTTGACTTTCTAACATGCAATCAAACGTGACTCAACAAACCCCTAGCCAGTCCAGGTATGTATGTGTTTTATCTCAAGCACACCTAAAGTAATGGAGCCCTTGATTAGTTGCACCAGGTGTGCTTGAATCATCTGGAGACTGCAGTAGTCATTAAAAGTAGCATTTTATGTTGAGTTTGTATAACCCTTGTAATATTAGATTAATTGAACTACTTAAACAGTTCTTGAGTAATTGTTTATTATTGTTAGATAATATATCATTATTATTGCAACTTTAGGTAACAGGTGTGTGTGTGTGTGTGTGTGTGTGTGTGTGTGTGTGTGTGTGTGTGTGTGTGTGTGTGTGTGTGTGTGTGTGTGTGTGTGTGTGTGTGTGTGTGTGTGTGTGTGTGTGTGTGTGGTGTGTGTGTGTGTGTGTGTGTGTGTGTGTGTGTGTGTGTACATCAGAATTCTGGAATGTGTTTCTGGAACCACCTGCAGTACCAGGAGGCAGCCCCGGGCAGGGAATAACTTACATCTAGCTCCGGGAGCTGGTTGGGTTTCAGCATCTTGCTCAAAGGCACTTTGACATGTTGACTAACACTGACCCTCTGATTGGTAGACGACCCTGAGCCACAGCCACCGCCATACTCAGCAACTCACCAGAAAGAACATGTCTCTGAATGATGGAGTGTGAGAGGGGTCTCTACTCTCAGCATGTGTCTGGTGTCAGCTAATCATCATCATCTCCATCATGCATATGGTTCTTGTTTAAAAAACAATGCAGCATTTTTTTTTGTCCTGCTTTTACAACAATAAAAGCACTCCTATGTTGTTGTTGTAGTACTTTACTGTATCTGTAGCTATTAACATGATTGCTCATATTTCGAGCCATATTATTCCTGACCCCTTATTTTGGATCAGTTTCATCAACCGGCCACCATTCACAACTATTATACAGCCCTGCTATATACTATAACCATTCTTTACTTATTTATAATATGGTTCAAATGGAGTAATTTGAGTTGTCTGATGCACTTGATACAATTTGACTTTTTTTAAATACTGATGTGTTTATTCAAAACCATTTCAACACACAATGTCATGACTCTTTCAAGATCTTTTTGACAAACTATACTATGACTTTCTTTCATATTTTTAGAAATCCTATACTGACATTGCAGACAAACTATATAATATAATTCTTAACTACATACTATACTTGGACTTTTTTCAAGATACTTTTGACATACTATACTAGTACTTTTAAAATAAATGTTCGGACATTCTACACTGTGACTTTTTTAAATGATATATATGAAATACTATACTATGATTTGTTCAGCATACTGGTGTATACAATCACTTTTTTTCATATTTTGACTTCCTTCATGATATTTTCATAATATTCTATTCTTTTAACTCTTTTTTCTCTATATTTTCAACACACTATACTATGACCGTTTGGACACTATGTTATTTACTATTTACCTTTTTTATTTTTGATATATTATTTTGCTATGTCTTTTATCAAGATATTTTCGAAATACTGTTAAACACATTTCTTTTCATTATTTTTTTACATACATGAAGTTGGCACACCTTAACCAAGCCAACCAACATTAGCTTGTGGCAAAGCCAGGGTGACAGCTAGTGATGTGACGAGCCGAGGCTTCGGAGCACGGTTTGAGTTATCCAGGAAGTTTTTGGTGAAGCGTGTATTGAGGCTTGTATCGTTTTAGGCCAGTGACTGCTTCAGATAGTGGTTCAGAGGGGTTCAGAGGTGTTAAAGGTGGGGTAGGTAAGTTTGAGAAACCGGCTCGAGATACACTTTTTGTTATATTCCATGGAATGCTCTTAACATCCCGATAGCAATGAATATCTTAAGTGCTTTGACAACAAATCCATAAAAAAATGTAATCTGTGGAAGCCGTAGTACTGTAAAAAGCACGACCAATCATTTTAGCCGGCCCGGCTAAAATAACTGGATGGCCTACCTGCCTGTCAGCCTTCCATCTGTGCACAAACTTACCTCGTGCCCTCATTGGTCATGTGCGTGTTCGTGTGTGTGTTGGAGGAGGGGCTCTGTAAGGAAGTGGCAGATTTTCTCCGGTTGTGTATTTTCAAATTCTACGCACTCGAGCTGGTTTCTCCGAAATTACCTACCCCACCTTTAAACACTGTCACTTCACAGTTTTATAACACTCATATGTCACTTTTTATGCATACTAATGTAACGAAAGCGGTATGAATATCACTACTGTTAATTTGCAAATTCTACATGTATATTTTCTACTTTTTTGTCTTTTAATTTGTATTGTACAATGCCATGTTTTTTAATAGAGAGGCGAAGTCCCGCCCATCTACTTCCGACCCATGGGACCTGATTTCGGAAAAAATATGTATTGAAGTCAATGGGGAGAGAAAGATTATCTTTCGATCCCGTTTGAATTGTGCCACAAATTACACATATGATGTTTGTCAATCTTAACAAATAATTTCCATGTCAAAAAAGTCACAGTTTGTCGTAAAACTGTTGAAATATAAGACTATGAAAAATACGCAACTAGAAAGACTACAAATCCCAGAATCCCGGTCCTGCATGCTGGCTGGAACCGACTAACTCCCCTTTGGTGTATACAGCTCTCAACATGCCCAGACTTGTAGTGATTTTCACCTCTTTTAATACTTTCCGCCTCATTCTGAATGAAAGAAGTGAAATGTGCCAACGTGACGGCCGTCTTGGTGTGTGGTGCGAGAGATGTAGTTCATTGAGCGGTTTCACACAAAAAAAAGTGTTACTTCACAGTTTTACGACACATTTTTATTTTTTTGACTTGAAAAATTATCTTTTAAATTGACAAACATCATATGTGTAATTCGTGGCACAATTCAAACGGGATCGAAAGATAATCTTTCTCTCCCCATTGACTTCAATACATACTTTTTCCGAAATAAGGTCCCATGGAGCTCCCCCGGAAAGGCTGGGACTTCGCCTCTCAATGCAACACAAATATTTCCCAAATTGGGATCAATAAAGTACTATCTTATCTTATCTTATCTCTTAGTAAAAAAAGGTTGACACATGTAATTTTGTCATCAGTAATAATGACATTAAAAGCGGTGGCTGTGTAGATTCCTATTTAAGGTTGGTTACTGACAGGCGTCATTAAAGCAGGAAGAACCGGTTCTGTTTTGTACGACAGCGTTAAACTCTTTTTAATAAAGTTTTCCTCAATAGTGTACCGAATATTCACCAGGCTGTGGGTCAGTACTACAGAGAGGTGAGTGTGGCTTTAGATTTTCTATCGCTGAACAAATGCTGTTGGACTTGTTTGATCGTCTCTGTCAGCAGAACGCAGTCCGGAAGCACTGAGCATGTCTGGCTTTTGAATATTTGTATCCACTGTTTGGATTGAGTAGATGTTTTGTGTTGTGCTTGCTGGTTACATCGACATTAAATGGGTTTTATGCAAATTAACTTGGTGGTTATCCAAACAGAGCCTGTTTGAATCCGGGACTTCCTGAAAGCCCCTGAGGGATGTGTGTTTGTTGTTCAGTCAGCTTTTTTACATCAAAAACATGAAATAAAGGATCATGACTCAGTATAAAAGTGAACTACACATTTTAGAGGTCACATCCATTTCATTTTTATAGCTCAATATCACCAGCTCCAGCCTTTGAATCTGGCTTTGTCTCCGACTATGTTTTCTATGTTTCCTGCTTTATGTTGTAAAAACACTCTATGGCCCAATGCCAAACCAATACCTACACACCCCGTGACGGAGAGTCACACTGATCTCCTCTAACACATTTTTGTTGATGCTTTTATCCAAAGCTACTTAAAGGTGCAATAAGCCATGAAGATAAAAACATGCAGATAAATTGCTTCAAATACGCCGAGTCATTGTCAGTGCTGCTGCATTACTCTGAATGAGCCGAGCCCGTTCACTATGACAACAGGTGTGTTTAGGTTAGGGTTGATGGACAAGGCAAGGCACGTTTATGTATTGTATTGTATCATTGTTTTTGATAAACCGCTGTAATTTATCATCTCTGTCAGAAGAGCACAACAGTGTTTATGACAACTTACATATTGACTTTTAATTTAATTCCCAGCAAGGCTAAATGTGATATTAAAACCTACACACAGTTATAATAAGCTATTAAACCTCTGGACACAGAATCAGGAATAATGTGTTGCTTTATGTCACTTCCTTTTGTATCAGATACGCTCATGGATAAATAGTCATCATGAACAGTGGGGTCTTTCTCAGCCTGCTGGCAGGTGAGTCAGGTTGGATTGCATTAACTAAGGCATCACTAACTCTATGTGTACTGTACAATATGTTCTATATTTAATATATGTAGTATACTGATGATAGGCATCCTTACCAAAATCTATCAATTCACGACAATAATCAGTGAAAGGAAATGATAATGCCCCATTGTTATATTATAGTTTATGAGTAAATGCCTGATGTGAGATATTAATCTCCTGTTTCTCTCATACAGCTCTCTGCCCAGCTTTCTTGGTCACAGTCTCTATCGAGGTTCCTGCAATCGACACAAATGCTTTGACCACTGCGTCACCGGAGGTCAGTAACCCTTCAACACCTGAGCCTATCATTTGGGCGGATACACCAACACCTAAAACATCCATCTCTCAAACTCCACCCACTGCATTTACTTCAACTGGGGTAACACTATCCAGCTCCAACAGTAGACATGAAACCGCAGGATCTTCAATAATGGCAACTGTAACTGGAGACAAATCAGGAACATCAGATGTGATGGAGGAAATAGTTACAGAATTACCAGTGGAAATTCAAACCTTAATAATTGGCTCCGTCAGTGAAAGGACCACTGTTTCTCTCGTGACACCTGGAACTGTTTCAAAAGAATCTGTCCAAACCAGTCCATCACCTGACACAACCACAAGCCATCCAGCTACACAACCATTACTGGTAAACACACACAATACATCTGTTGGTTCTGGAGCCACGGCATTGGTGTTTAATGTGTCAGGTGTGATGAATTCACCTATAGGAAGTGTGACTGCCTCACAAATTCACACAGACTCAACACAGACTCTTTCAACCTCACAACTGACCACAGCCCAGTCCAGCAAAGAGACCAGCTCATCTGTACCGACTTCAACTGGGATGGATCCAGTGGGAACCAGTGAGACCCCTTCAGCAGCCCTGCATGAAACTCTCTCATCTACAACCCTTGAAAAAACACACCTTGTTAACACACACACAAAGACAAGTGTGAGTGCCATTGAGGTCACACCTCAGGCAACAATATCCAAAGCATTCACCACAAAACTCATGCCAACTGCAAGTCATACCACAATGCCAACTGAGATGAATTTACCAACAGCAACACCATCACAAATGACACAGGCTAAAACACAAAGCACATCCACAGCAACAAAATCCAACACAACACCAGCATCCAAAGCTTCAACACCATCATCAACATCAATATCATCAGCATTTGAGGATTTATCAACAGTGACTACAGCCCAACACACGACACAATCTACAGCTACAGCGTCCACAACACAAACAGTGTCCATAACTACATCAACACAAACTACCCTGACCGCAACAGAATCTGCAACAACATCAACCCTAAGTACACCATCTGAGGATTCAGAAAAACATATTACAACAGGACAGATTAAACAAACTATTGCTACAGCCTCCACAACACAAACTGTGTCTACAACTACACCAACACAATCTATTCTAACCACAGCAACAACATCACCCCAAAGAACATCATCTGTAGTTTCAGAAACACAAAGACCAACACAAACTACAGCTCTAACCTCACAATCAGCACAAGGTACAATATCTGAGATTTTACCAACAGTAACACAACAAACTACACCAACCATTGCAATAGTATCAACAACACAAAGTATGATCACATCTACACCAACACATTCTATTGGACCCACAACAGAATCAGCAACATCAACCCAAAATACAGCATCAGAAGGTTCAGAAACACAAAGACCAACACAACATACAGTTGTCACCTCAAATTCAGCACAAAGTACAGCACCTGAGGATTCACCAACAGTGACTAAAACACAACCAACTACACCATCTGTTCTAACACTATCCACAACGCAGACTGCATCCACATTCACACCAATACAATTTATTCCAACCATTATGGAATCAGCAACATCAACACAAATTACAGTTGTAACTTCACAACCGGCACAAAGTACATCATCTGAGGATTCACCAACAGTGATTACAACACAACAAACTACACCATTTACTGCAACAGCATCCACAACACAAACAGTTCCAACAACTACACCAACACAATCTATTCTATACACAATACAATCAGCAACAACATCAACCCAAAGTACATCATCCAAGGTTTCACCAACAGTGAATACAACACTTTCTATTGCAACACAATCTGTGTCCATATCAGCAACAACCTTAACCCAAAGTACATCTTCTGAAGATTCTTCAACACAAAGACCATCACTAACTGCACTCATAACTTCAAAATCCCCTCATAGTACAGCATCAGTGGATTCACCAACTGTAACATCATTTACAACACAAAGTATGATCACATCTACACCAACACAATCTATTCTAATAACAACAGAAGCTGCATCAACATCAACCCAAAGTTCACCATCCGAAGGTTCAGAAACCCAAAGACCAACACAAATTACAGCTATAACCTCACAATCAGCAGAAAGTACAGCCTCTGAGGACGCACCAACAGTGAATACAACACTTTCTATTGCAACAGCATCCACAACAGAATCTGTGTCCACATCAGCAACAACCTTAACCCAAAGTACAGCATCTGAGGATTCTTCAACACAAAGACCATCACAAACTACACTCATAACTTCAAAATCCACTCGTAGTACAGCATCAGAGGATTCACCAACTGTAACATCATTTACAACACAAAGTATGATCACAACTACACCAACACAATCTATTCTAACCACAGCAACAACATCACCCCAAAGAGCATCATCTGTAGTTTCAGAAACACAAAGACCAACACAAACTACAGCTCTAACCTCACAATCAGCACAAGGTACAATATCTGAGATTTTACCAACAGTGACTACAACACAACAAACTACACCAACCATTGCAATAGTATCAACAACACAAAGTATGATCACATCTACACCAACACATTCTATTAGACCCACAACAGAATCAGCAACATCAACCCAAAGTACAGCATCAGAAGGTTCAGAAACACAAAGACCAACACAACATACAGTTGTCACCTCAAATTCAGCACAAAGTACAGCACCTGAGGATTCACCAACAGTGACTACAACACAACCAACTACACCATCTGTTCTAACACTATCCACAATGCAGACTGCATCCACATTCACACCAACACAATTTATTACGACCATTATGGAATCAGCAACATCAACACAAATGACAGTTGTAACTTCACAACCGGCACAAAGTACATCATCTGAGGATTCACCAACAGTGATTACAACACCATCTATTGCAACAGCATCCACAACAGAATCTGTGTCCACATCAGCAACAACCTTAACCCAAAGTACAGCATCTGAGGATTCTTCAACACAAAGACCATCACAAACTGCACTCATAACTTCAGAATCCACTCGTAGTACAGCATCTGAGGATTCACCAACTGTCACATCATTTACAACACAAAGTGTGATCACATCTACACCAACACAATCTATTCTAATAACAACAGAATCTGCAACAACATCAACCCAAGGTTCACCATCTGAAGGTTCAGAAACCCAAAGACCAACACAAATTACAGCTATAACCTCACAATCAGCACAAAGTACAGCCTCTGAGGACGCACCAACAGTGACTACAACACTTTCTATTGCAACAGCATCCACAACAGAATCTGTGTCCACATCAGCAACAACCTTAACCCAAAGTACAACATCTGAGGATTCTTCAACACAAAGACCATCACAAACTGCACTCATAACTTCAGAATCCACTCGTAGTACAGCATTGGAGGATTCACCAACTGTAACATCATTTACAACACAAAGTATGATCACACCTACACCAACACAATCTATTCTAATAACAACAGAATCTGCATCAACATCAACCGCAAGTACAACATCTGAGCATTCACCAACAGTGACTACAACACCATCTATTGCAACAGCATCCACAACAGAATCTGTGTCCACATCAGCAACAACCTTAACCCAAAGTACAGCATCTGAGGATTCTTCAACACAAAGACCATCACTAACTACACTCATAACTTCAGAATCCACTCATAGTACAGCATCAGAGGATTCACCAACTGTAACATCATTTACAACACAAAGTGTGATCGCAACTACACAGGCGCAATCTATTCTGCCCACAATTGAATCAGCAACAACATCAACCCAAAGTTCACCATCTGAAGGTTCAGAAACCCAAAGACCAACACAAATTACAGCTGTAACCTCACAATCAGCACAAAGTACAGCCTCTGAGGACGCACCAACAGTGACTACAACACTTTCTATTGCAACAGCATCCACAACAGAATCTGTATCCACATCAGCAACAACCTTAACCCAAAGTACAGCATCTGAGGATTCTTCAACACAAAGACCATCACAAACTACACTCATAACTTCGGAATCCACTCGTAGTACAGCATCAGAGGATTCACCAACTGTAACATCATTTACAACACAAAGTATGATCACATCTACACCATCACAATCTATTCTAATAACAACAGAATCTGCATCAACATCAACCACAACATCTGAGCATTCACCGACAGTGACTACAACACCATCTATTGCAACATCAACAACACAAAGTGTGATTGCAACTACACAGACGCAATCTATTCTGCCCACAATTGAATCAGCAACAACATCAACCCAAAGTTCACCATCCGAAGGTTCAGAAACCCAAAGACCAACACAAATTACAGCTATAACCTCACAATCAGCACAAAGTACAGCCTCTGAGGACGCACCAACAGTGACTACAACACTTTCTATTGAAACAGCATCCACAACAGAATCTGTGTCCACATCAGCAACAACCTTAACCCAAAGTACAGCATCTGAGGATTCTTCAACACAAAGACCATCACAAACTACACTCATAACTTCAGAATCCACTCGTAGTACAGCATCGGAGGATTCACCAACTGTAACATCATTTACAACACAAAGTATGATCACACCTACACCAACACAATCTATTCTAATAACAACAGAATCTGCATCAACATCAACCGCAAGTACAACATCTGAGCATTCACCAACAGTGACTACAACACCATCTATTGCAACAGCATCCACAACAGAATCTGTGTCCACATCAGCAACAACCTTAACCCAAAGTACAGCATCTGAGGATTCTTCAACACAAAGACCATCACTAACTGCACTCATAACTTCAGAATCCACTCATAGTACAGCATCTGAGGATTCACCAACTGTCACATCATTTACAACACAAAGTGTGATCACATCTACACCAACACAATCTATTCTAATAACAACAGAATCTGCAACAACATCAACCCAAGGTTCACCATCTGAAGGTTCAGAAACCCAAAGACCAACACAAATTACAGCTATAACCTCACAATCAGCACAAAGTACAGCCTCTGAGGACGCACCAACAGTGACTACAACACTTTCTATTGCAACAGCATCCACAACAGAATCTGTGTCCACATCAGCAACAACCTTAACCCAAAGTACAGCATCTGAGGATTCTTCAACACAAAGACCATCACAAACTACACTCATAACTTCAGAATCCACTCGTAGTACAGCATCGGAGGATTCACCAACTGTAACATCATTTACAACAGAAAGTATGATCACATCTACACCAACACAATCTATTCTAATAACAACAGAATCTGCATCAACATCAACCACAACATCTGAGCATTCACCAACAGTGACTACAACACCATCTATTGCAACAGCATCCACAACAGAATCTGTGTCCACATCAGCAACAACCTTAACCCAAAGTACAGCATCTGAGGATTCTTCAACACAAAGACCATCACTAACTGCACTCATAACTTCGGAATCCACTCGTAGTACAGCATTGGAGGATTCACCAACTGTAACATCATTTACAACAGAAAGTATGATCACATCTACACCAACACAATCTATTCTAATAACAACAGAATCTGCATCTGCATCAACATCAACCACAACATCTGAGCATTCACCAACAGTGACTACAACACCATCTATTGCAACAGCATCCACAACAGAATCTGTGTCCACATCAGCAACAACCTTAACCCAAAGTACAGCATCTGAGGATTCTTCAACACAAAGACCATCACTAACTGCACTCATAACTTCAGAATCCACTCATAGTACAGCATCAGAGGATTCACCAACTGTAACATCATTTACAACACAAAGTGTGATCGCAACTACACAGGCGCAATCTATTCTGCCCACAATTGAATCAGCAACAACATCAACCCAAAGTTCACCATCCGAAGGTTCAGAAACCCAAAGACCAACACAAATTACAGCTATAACCTCACAATCAGCACAAAGTACAGCATCTGAGGACGCACCAACAGTGAATACAACACTTTCTATTGCAACAGCATCCACAACAGAATCTGTGTCCACATCAGCAACAACCTTAACCCAAAGTACAGCTTCTGAGGATTCTTCAACACAAAGACCATCACAAACTACACTCATAACTTCAGAATCCACTCGTAGTACAGCATCTGAGGATTCACCAACTGTCACATCATTTACAACACAAAGTGTGATCACATCTACACCAACACAATCTATTCTAATAACAACAGAATCTGCAACAACATCAACCCAAGGTTCACCATCTGAAGGTTCAGAAACCCAAAGACCAACACAAATTACAGCTATAACCTCACAATCAGCACAAAGTACAGCCTCTGAGGACGCACCAACAGTGACTACAACACTTTCTATTGAAACAGCATCCACAACAGAATCTGTGTCCACATCAGCAACAACCTTAACCCAAAGTACAGCATCTGAGGATTCTTCAACACAAAGACCATCACTAACTGCACTCATAACTTCGGAATCCACTCGTAGTACAGCATTGGAGGATTCACCAACTGTAACATCATTTACAACAGAAAGTATGATCACATCTACACCAACACAATCTATTCTAATAACAACAGAATCTGCATCTGCATCAACATCAACCACAACATCTGAGCATTCACCAACAGTGACTACAACACCATCTATTGCAACAGCATCCACAACAGAATCTGTGTCCACATCAGCAACAACCTTAACCCAAAGTACAGCATCTGAGGATTCTTCAACACAAAGACCATCACTAACTGCACTCATAACTTCAGAATCCACTCATAGTACAGCATCAGAGGATTCACCAACTGTAACATCATTTACAACACAAAGTGTGATCGCAACTACACAGGCGCAATCTATTCTGCCCACAATTGAATCAGCAACAACATCAACCCAAAGTTCACCATCCGAAGGTTCAGAAACCCAAAGACCAACACAAATTACAGCTATAACCTCACAATCAGCACAAAGTACAGCATCTGAGGACGCACCAACAGTGAATACAACACTTTCTATTGCAACAGCATCCACAACAGAATCTGTGTCCACATCAGCAACAACCTTAACCCAAAGTACAGCTTCTGAGGATTCTTCAACACAAAGACCATCACAAACTACACTCATAACTTCAGAATCCACTCGTAGTACAGCATCTGAGGATTCACCAACTGTCACATCATTTACAACACAAAGTGTGATCACATCTACACCAACACAATCTATTCTAATAACAACAGAATCTGCAACAACATCAACCCAAGGTTCACCATCTGAAGGTTCAGAAACCCAAAGACCAACACAAATTACAGCTATAACCTCACAATCAGCACAAAGTACAGCCTCTGAGGACGCACCAACAGTGACTACAACACTTTCTATTGAAACAGCATCCACAACAGAATCTGTGTCCACATCAGCAACAACCTTAACCCAAAGTACAGCATCTGAGGATTCTTCAACACAAAGACCATCACAAACTACACTCATAACTTCAGAATCCACTCGTAGTACAGCATCGGAGGATTCACCAACTGTAACATCATTTACAACACAAAGTATGATCACACCTACACCAACACAATCTATTCTAATAACAACAGAATCTGCATCAACATCAACCGCAAGTACAACATCTGAGCATTCACCAACAGTGACTACAACACCATCTATTGCAACAGCATCCACAACAGAATCTGTGTCCACATCAGCAACAACCTTAACCCAAAGTACAGCATCTGAGGATTCTTCAACACAAAGACCATCACTAACTACACTCATAACTTCAGAATCCACTCGTAGTACAGCATCGGAGGATTCACCAACTGTAACATCATTTACAACAGAAAGTATGATCACATCTACACCAACACAATCTATTCTAATAACAACAGAATCTGCATCAACATCAACCACAACATCTGAGCATTCACCAACAGTGACTACAACACCATCTATTGCAACAGCATCCACAACAGAATCTGTGTCCACATCAGCAACAACCTTAACCCAAAGTACAGCATCTGAGGATTCTTCAACACAAAGACCATCACAAACTGCACTCATAACTTCAGAATCCACTCATAGTACAGCATCAGAGGATTCACCAACTGTAACATCATTTACAACACAAAGTGTGATCGCAACTACACAGGCGCAATCTATTCTGCCCACAATTGAATCAGCAACAACATCAACCCAAAGTTCACCATCCGAAGGTTCAGAAACCCAAAGACCAACACAAATTACAGCTATAACCTCACAATCAGCACAAAGTACAGCATCTGAGGACGCACCAACAGTGAATACAACACTTTCTATTGCAACAGCATCCACAACAGAATCTGTGTCCACATCAGCAACAACCTTAACCCAAAGTACAGCTTCTGAGGATTCTTCAACACAAAGACCATCACAAACTACACTCATAACTTCAGAATCCACTCGTAGTACAGCATCTGAGGATTCACCAACTGTCACATCATTTACAACACAAAGTGTGATCACATCTACACCAACACAATCTATTCTAATAACAACAGAATCTGCAACAACATCAACCCAAGGTTCACCATCTGAAGGTTCAGAAACCCAAAGACCAACACAAATTACAGCTATAACCTCACAATCAGCACAAAGTACAGCCTCTGAGGACGCACCAACAGTGACTACAACACTTTCTATTGCAACAGCATCCACAACAGAATCTGTGTCCACATCAGCAACAACCTTAACCCAAAGTACAGCATCTGAGGATTCTTCAACACAAAGACCATCACAAACTACACTCATAACTTCAGAATCCACTCGTAGTACAGCATCGGAGGATTCACCAACTGTAACATCATTTACAACAGAAAGTATGATCACATCTACACCAACACAATCTATTCTAATAACAACAGAATCTGCATCAACATCAACCACAACATCTGAGCATTCACCAACAGTGACTACAACACCATCTATTGCAACAGCATCCACAACAGAATCTGTGTCCACATCAGCAACAACCTTAACCCAAAGTACAGCATCTGAGGATTCTTCAACACAAAGACCATCACTAACTGCACTCATAACTTCGGAATCCACTCGTAGTACAGCATTGGAGGATTCACCAACTGTAACATCATTTACAACAGAAAGTATGATCACATCTACACCAACACAATCTATTCTAATAACAACAGAATCTGCATCTGCATCAACATCAACCACAACATCTGAGCATTCACCAACAGTGACTACAACACCATCTATTGCAACAGCATCCACAACAGAATCTGTGTCCACATCAGCAACAACCTTAACCCAAAGTACAGCATCTGAGGATTCTTCAACACAAAGACCATCACTAACTGCACTCATAACTTCAGAATCCACTCATAGTACAGCATCAGAGGATTCACCAACTGTAACATCATTTACAACACAAAGTGTGATCGCAACTACACAGGCGCAATCTATTCTGCCCACAATTGAATCAGCAACAACATCAACCCAAAGTTCACCATCCGAAGGTTCAGAAACCCAAAGACCAACACAAATTACAGCTATAACCTCACAATCAGCACAAAGTACAGCATCTGAGGACGCACCAACAGTGAATACAACACTTTCTATTGCAACAGCATCCACAACAGAATCTGTGTCCACATCAGCAACAACCTTAACCCAAAGTACAGCATCTGAGGATTCTTCAACACAAAGACCATCACAAACTACACTCATAACTTCAGAATCCACTCGTAGTACAGCATCTGAGGATTCACCAACTGTCACATCATTTACAACACAAAGTGTGATCACATCTACACCAACACAATCTATTCTAATAACAACAGAATCTGCAACAACATCAACCCAAGGTTCACCATCTGAAGGTTCAGAAACCCAAAGACCAACACAAATTACAGCTATAACCTCACAATCAGCACAAAGTACAGCCTCTGAGGACGCACCAACAGTGACTACAACACTTTCTATTGAAACAGCATCCACAACAGAATCTGTGTCCACATCAGCAACAACCTTAACCCAAAGTACAGCATCTGAGGATTCTTCAACACAAAGACCATCACTAACTGCACTCATAACTTCGGAATCCACTCGTAGTACAGCATTGGAGGATTCACCAACTGTAACATCATTTACAACAGAAAGTATGATCACATCTACACCAACACAATCTATTCTAATAACAACAGAATCTGCATCTGCATCAACATCAACCACAACATCTGAGCATTCACCAACAGTGACTACAACACCATCTATTGCAACAGCATCCACAACAGAATCTGTGTCCACATCAGCAACAACCTTAACCCAAAGTACAGCATCTGAGGATTCTTCAACACAAAGACCATCACTAACTGCACTCATAACTTCAGAATCCACTCATAGTACAGCATCAGAGGATTCACCAACTGTAACATCATTTACAACACAAAGTGTGATCGCAACTACACAGGCGCAATCTATTCTGCCCACAATTGAATCAGCAACAACATCAACCCAAAGTTCACCATCCGAAGGTTCAGAAACCCAAAGACCAACACAAATTACAGCTATAACCTCACAATCAGCACAAAGTACAGCATCTGAGGACGCACCAACAGTGAATACAACACTTTCTATTGCAACAGCATCCACAACAGAATCTGTGTCCACATCAGCAACAACCTTAACCCAAAGTACAGCTTCTGAGGATTCTTCAACACAAAGACCATCACAAACTACACTCATAACTTCAGAATCCACTCGTAGTACAGCATCTGAGGATTCACCAACTGTCACATCATTTACAACACAAAGTGTGATCACATCTACACCAACACAATCTATTCTAATAACAACAGAATCTGCAACAACATCAACCCAAGGTTCACCATCTGAAGGTTCAGAAACCCAAAGACCAACACAAATTACAGCTATAACCTCACAATCAGCACAAAGTACAGCCTCTGAGGACGCACCAACAGTGACTACAACACTTTCTATTGAAACAGCATCCACAACAGAATCTGTGTCCACATCAGCAACAACCTTAACCCAAAGTACAGCATCTGAGGATTCTTCAACACAAAGACCATCACAAACTACACTCATAACTTCAGAATCCACTCGTAGTACAGCATCGGAGGATTCACCAACTGTAACATCATTTACAACACAAAGTATGATCACACCTACACCAACACAATCTATTCTAATAACAACAGAATCTGCATCAACATCAACCGCAAGTACAACATCTGAGCATTCACCAACAGTGACTACAACACCATCTATTGCAACAGCATCCACAACAGAATCTGTGTCCACATCAGCAACAACCTTAACCCAAAGTACAGCATCTGAGGATTCTTCAACACAAAGACCATCACTAACTACACTCATAACTTCAGAATCCACTCGTAGTACAGCATCGGAGGATTCACCAACTGTAACATCATTTACAACAGAAAGTATGATCACATCTACACCAACACAATCTATTCTAATAACAACAGAATCTGCATCAACATCAACCACAACATCTGAGCATTCACCAACAGTGACTACAACACCATCTATTGCAACAGCATCCACAACAGAATCTGTGTCCACATCAGCAACAACCTTAACCCAAAGTACAGCATCTGAGGATTCTTCAACACAAAGACCATCACAAACTGCACTCATAACTTCAGAATCCACTCATAGTACAGCATCAGAGGATTCACCAACTGTAACATCATTTACAACACAAAGTGTGATCGCAACTACACAGGCGCAATCTATTCTGCCCACAATTGAATCAGCAACAACATCAACGCAAAGTTCACCATCTGAAGGTTCAGAAACCCAAAGACCAACACAAATTACAGCTGTAACCTCACAATCAGCACAAAGTACAGCCTCTGAGGACGCACCAACAGTGACTACAACACTTTCTATTGCAACAGCATCCACAACAGAATCTGTGTCCACATCAGCAACAACCTTAACCCAAAGTACAGCATCTGAGGATTCTTCAACACAAAGACCATCACTAACTGCACTCATAACTTCAGAATCCACTCGTAGTACAGCATCAGAGGATTCACCAACTGTAACATCATTTACAACACAAAGTATGATCACATCTACACCATCACAATCTATTCTAATAACAACAGAATCTGCATCAACATCAACCACAACATCTGAGCATTCACCGACAGTGACTACAACACCATCTATTGCAACATCAACAACACAAAGTGTGATTGCAACTACACAGACGCAATCTATTCTGCCCACAATTGAATCAGCAACAACATCAACCCAAAGTTCACCATCCGAAGGTTCAGAAACCCAAAGACCAACACAAATTACAGCTATAACCTCACAATCAGCACAAAGTACAGCATCTGAGGACGCACCAACAGTGACTACAACACTTTCTATTGCAACAGCATCCACAACAGAATCTGTGTCCACATCAGCAACAACCTTAACCCAAAGTACAGCTTCTGAGGATTCTTCAACACAAAGACCATCACAAACTACACTCATAACTTCAGAATCCACTCACAGTACAGCATCTGAGGACGCACCAACAGTGACTACAACACTTTCTATTGCAACAGCATCCACAACAGAATCTGTATCCACATCAGCAACAACCTTAACCCAAAGTACAGCATCTGAGGATTCTTCAACACAAAGACCATCACAAACTACACTCATAACTTCAAAATCCACTCGTAGTACAGCATCAGAGGATTCACCAACTGTAACATCATTTACAACACAAAGTATGATCACATCTACACCAACACAATCTATTCTAATAACAACAGAATCTGCATCAACATCAACCGCAAGTACAACATCTGAGCATTCACCTACAGTGACTACAACACCATCTATTGCAACATCATCAACAGCACAAAGTGTGATCACAACTACACAAACACAATCTATTCTGCCCACAATTGAATCAGCAACAACATCAACCCAAAGTTCACCATCTGAAGGTTCAGAAACCCAAAGACCAACACAAATTACAGCTGTAACCTCACAATCAGCACAAAGTACAGCCTCTGAGGACGCACCAACAGTGACTACAACACTTTCTATTGCAACAGCATCCACAACAGAATCTGTGTCCACATCAGCAACAACCTTAACCCAAAGTACAGCCTCTGAGGACTCACCAACAGTGACTACAACACAACACCTTTCTCAATCTGTGTCTAGAGCATCCACAAAACAAGCCGTGTCTACAACTACACCAACACAATCAGTTTTGTCCACAATAGAATCAGCAACAACCTTAACACAAAGTACAGCACCTGAGGATTCATCAACACAAACACCAATACAAACTACATTCATCACCTCAAAATCAGCACACCATACTGCATCTGAGGATTCACCACCAGTGACTGCAACACAACCAACTACACCATCTATTGCAACATCATCCAGTACACAATCTATTCCGACCATTATGGAATCATCAACAACCTTATCCCAAAGTACAACATCTGAAGTTTCAGAAACACAAAGACCAACACAAATTAGAGCTGTGAGCTCACAATCAGCACAACGTACAGCATCTGAATATACAACAGGACAAATCAAACAGTCTATTCCTACAGCATCCACACCACAAACTGTGTTCACAACTACACCAACAGAATCGACCCTGCCCACAACAGTATCAGGAACTAACTTAACCCTAAGTACAGCATCTGAGGATTCATCAACAGTGAATACAATACAACAAACTACACCATCTATTGCAACAGCCTCCACAACACAATCGGTGTCCACAACAGAATCAGCAACAACCTTAACCCAAAGTACAGTATCAGAAGGTTCAGAAACACAAAGACCAACACAAACTGCAGTTGTAACCTCACAAACAGCCACTTCAGATGAAGCTGTATCATATATGAAAACCACATCAGAGACTCCACAAACATTAGCACCTCTAACAACACCTGCTAAACAAACTGCTGAATCTACAGCACGTGTCAGCACAACAACACACAGTGAATCAGTGATAACCCCAACACAAACTACACCACCTATTGAAACAGCATACACAACAACTACACTATTGGCAGTACCAATGACAATATCATCTTCAGCAGAACCAACTAACTTTATGGCATCTACAACAGAAACAACCATAAGAACCACACAACCAACACAAGTCACAGAAACAAGACGCACAACACCAACAGGCACTGTAGTGTCGACAACAAACAAACAAGACAGAAGGGAATCAACCACAACACAATCCCAAACTACACTGTCTGTAAAAACAATGCCACAAACTACAGTCCGAGGAATGAAACAAACTACAGTCCGAGGAATGAAACAAACTACAGTCAGAGGAATGACACCAACAATGGCTGCAAATACACAATCAGCAGGTTCAGTCACTTCATCTACACCGAGATCAACCACAGTTCACAATGAGCCTACAACACAAACCGCAGGATCCGTGGAAACACAGACCAAGCTGTTTTCGCCAACATTAGAATCAACAAGAACATTGGCAAAAACGACACCGTCCTTGGCAACAAGTCTAAAAAAGTCAACACAAACTACAGTTACAAATACACCAGCAACAACCCAAGTAAAAGCAACAGCATCTGAATCAAGTGGGTCAAGAACAATTCACACAACTACAATACAAAGTAAACCCATACAAACACACACTGTAGATTCTGTCACAACAGTAACACAAGCTACCCCCTTGGCAGCTGGATCCACAACCCACAGGTTACCTTCTCCAGAAAACACAGAGACAACCACTTTGTCAACATACCTGGCAACCCAATCTATGATACCTTTTAGTGAGTCCAAGCTACTCAGAACAACATCTGCTGAGTCATCTTCAGGAAGCACCCCTCCACAGAGTTCAGCCTTTCCCAGCACACCCAGTGCGTCAGGAACTACTTCCATAAATACACAAACTAGTGGACAAACATCAGTTCCTTTCAGCACACTTACCAAGCTACCATTTGATACATCAACATCACATACTGCACAATCAACGGGCAACCCCTCGGCTTCACAACAACAACAACAACAAAGTGTCTCGTTATTCCCGTCCAGAGCATCTTCAAACCCAACAACGGCTCAATCTGTGCGTGTATCTCAGACGGACAGTACTGCACATGCAGCTACAACCTCGACTTCTGTATCAACAGAAGGAACACCTACCCAAAGTCCAGGTATTAATATTGTTAAAGAAACAGTGAACAGTTCTCCATCGGCCACGCCATCCAAAATGTCAGTTGCTGCTTCTGCATCTATGCAATCCAACGACCCTCCATCAGCCGGGCCTGTGTCTCTAACCACACCCTCTGACTCCCAAAAACCTGTGACAACAACATCGGACGGTGCCACACACTCTACTCTTCCTCAAGTTTCGTCATTTTCCTCAGACGCATCCACCATCAATCAAGCCAAAGTTGACTCTAAGACTGTTTCCTTACCTGGGGAAAATACAGTGGTCTTCAGATATTGCCCAAAAATTGCTGCAGTGAGGCCGCTTGCCTTTGATCACCCAACTGTCTTTAGGACCTCAATCCCAGTTTCCCAGCCAGGTCAAAACAGCACAAATTGAAGATTAATGCACACGCTCAAGAAAAAAGGGCTAGCTAACCCTATCACATGCAGGAAGTGAGAGGTAGTGATCATTTCTTAAGAGGTGCTGGTAGACCAATTGTGTTACTTTTGGAAAGAACCAGGCTAGCTCTTTCCTTTATAGAGTTGATTAGGAATAAAACCTGACAGGACTCATCATTTTAACACTTCCTATTCTCCCAAAGTGGACAGGTTTTTAAAATGTACATCCCTATTTCTCTGACATTCCGTTACTCATTTAGCTGATGATTTGATCCAAAGTGACATCCAATAAAAACAATCAAACATGGAGATACAAGCTCACAGCAGCAGGAATCTTCTCTTTCTATTCTCCTGTGTGTACTCTTCAAAGATTAAACTTATATATAACAATAATACTAATAAGAACATTTTGAACATGTTATAAACAAATCGAACACTTGATTGAAATTGACAGATTTTTTGTGTTTTTGTTTCTGGGTTCCTTTTCCATTTAATTTCTAGTTAAGTTTAGGTTATCAACTTGCTTTAATATTGTTTATTGGCTTTGTCGTCCTGATATTTCTGTTATAATTTCCTCCCTGATTGATTTTTGCTCATTTTTCTTTCTCTGTTCATACTGTTATGTATTATGTTTTTATTATCTAAACAAATAAACAAATTATTCATGCATACATCGCTTGTCATGCTTTTAAATAACAATATTAATTTCGAATCCTCTCTTTATTCAGTCTCTCCTTATTCCCCAACATCAATCAAAACACTGTTAATGTGTATACAATACATCAATAAACACTTAAAGGTAGGGTAGGTAAGTTTAAGAAACCGGCTCGAGATCGCTAGAATTTGAAAATACACAGCCGGAGAAAATCTGCCACTTCCTTACAGAGCCCCTCCTCCAACACACACGAACGCGCACATGACCAATGAGGGCACGAGATAAGTTTGTGCACAGATGGAAGGCTGACAGGCAGGTAGGCCATCCAGTTATTTTAGCCGGGCCGGCTAAAATAATTGGTCGTACTTTTTACAGTACTACGGCTTCCACAGATGACATTTTTTTATGGATTTTTTGTCAAAGCACTTAAGATATTCATTGCTATCGGGATGTTAAGAGCATTCCATGGAATATAACAAAAAGTGTATCTCGAGCCGGTTTCTCAAACTTACCTACCCTACCTTTAATGCACAGAAAGCATGATTTAGTAGATATATATATCAGCTCTACCTGTATTGGATATATGGTTATATCTTCCTGTAAGTTAAATGACTGAATGCATCAGATCTGCAGATTGTCCATGAACACTAGAAATTAAACTCCCTCTGAATCTGTGCTGGAATATTTGTATTGGTAAAGTTGTGACTTGTGTCAATATTCTGTACGAAGGTATTTTATTCAGTTGTAGAATATGTTTCACAAAATACAAAAGCAAAGTTATAAGGTATGGGGGCTCAATTCAGGTAGATACAAACAACTGATAAACACATATATTCACAAAGGAGAAAGCTGCATTCTAGCAAACTGCGTCACAGTAGAAATATGTAAAACTATATAAGGATTACTACGTAATGGCATCCAAGGTTTCCTTTGATGCTATAGAGCGGGGTTGACGACACGCAATCCAGAGCAATAAGCAGCCGAAGGTTTTCAGTCAAAAAATGTAATTTATTAACAAAAAAGGTATTGACTTAAATAGTCTCAAAATAACAAATCTAACTAATAATTTCGGCGATATACTTTCCTATATAAACTATACTTTGCAGTCCAATTTGCAACACTAATTTCGTTTACAATTTGCGGTCGAAAAACTGTTCCGCTCCCCGTCTCATCAGGTCTCAGAGCACCCCAGCTGTCCTCAATTACCTCACTTAAATAAACACCGGAAGGTACAAGGAAACAGATCATATTTACGATTTAAAATAAACAATCATTTCATCAAAAGATATTCACCATGGCAATATAAATCATTTTACATCATTAATTCATTTATCAAATTATGAATCTAAATAATAACTTTGACTTCATTGTGGCTCTAACACATTGGCTTACTATAATGTAAGCCAATGGCCTTCCATACTCCTATAAAGATTAGCTAACACTACACATCACTGATGTTCTTGTTTTTATAGGCCAAAGCAGGCTCATTTCAAAGAGTAATTGAAGCTGGAGATACACATCAGGGTTTGACACAGGTCTCAGGTATCACTGCAAAACAAGAATTTAATTCTGAAAACAGGTTTGCTAAAATTGGATTCATTGCTCAAACAGCAGGTGCAGTGCTAAAGAAATAGCGGAGGATTTTGACCACACACCACCAACATGTCCTCTGTAACTCGTCGCCCAATCACTGCTGTGTCTGTGGAAATATGTTCTGACTAACAATGTGATATGTCCAACAGTTCCCTATTCAAAATAACTTTATTCCTTTCCATTTCACTTTATTTGATGTGTATTATTAGTTTATCATCATTTTCTGTCACACCTTGGTATAATATGCAACAGGGAATATGACGGAGGAATGAAGCAGGACGACTTTTCACGAGACAAAAGAAGGGAGTATTCAACGAGACGAAGCCAACAAACTGTCAAAATAAATATCTTCATCTGAAAGATGCGTATCATTACTGAGTCATGTCCCACAGCACGGCACTATATAAAGGCGTTAGAGGAACAAGCCACATATACAATGTTTGCAAGGTGAATCACAGAACAAATTAAGTGAAGTACGTCCTTAAAGAAAAACTGCACGACACCTAAGAGAAGACACAGCTTTTTATTTTTTAATATTTTATTTTTAAGTTAGGACACAGCTTTTTCATATTCTCATTTGGGTAAGTAAATATTCATATTTAAATGTTTACCTATGTACACATTGTGTGCTATTATAATCAGGTTTACATCTTAAGGGAAATTCCTAACAAGCGGTAATTGAAGTGTCAAAAATGAATCCGAATTTTGTTTGTGTTTCATTATTTATAAATGTTTCATTATAAAATGCTTTATTATACCTCATCATATTGCGATTTTTATTTCAATATACTTTATAATTTGTACACGTAGTTGCATAGTTACAAAATAAGAAATAACGTGGCTTTATATTAATCTGGTACTTCTAACCCGCTCCACAGTGAGACTGCAGTTCTGTACACACAGTTTTCTGTTAACCCTTGCGTGGTGTTCATATTTTTGTTATTCAGCCAGTGTTCATGGGTCTGGTGGACCTGCTGCCTTTTTGGGTTTCAATTCAACACAATCAAACTATTTTATGTTAAAATACTCAACAGATGTTTACTTCATCCCAATTACAAGCAATATAAACAGCATATATGGTTAATATTTGCCATTTTACATTTGTTAGATCACATTAATGAATTCAAGTGCTACTTGTTTTTTTGCCCGCTGACCGACTGCTCCTGTGGCTCGTCTTTTTGTTGTAACTAGCTGATGCTCAATCTCATCCTCTTTTTCAAAGTCACTGTGAGATTCAGAATTCTCAGAAATGTGATCCTCACATTTCTGAAACCTCTTTCTCTTCCTCTACATAATCATCAAATGGTTCTCTCTCTTCCAAAATCATTTGCAAGGCCCTTTGAGCAGAGAATCTTTTGGCCATCTTGATCAGTTGTGATAAGGACCCAAACTGGCGAAGCTTTATTTATTGTGTCTCGCCCCAAATTTGCAGCTGGGATAGAGTGTGAAACAAATTAAGATTGGTTCCCGCAAGACATAATGCGGGAATGTGAGAGCAGACAGGTGTTGGTGCTTGAATTTATCAACCTTGTGCGGGAATGGCAGGGGCAGAAACAGAAAAGACACACACACACACACACACACACACACACACACACACAGCCCCGGGTCCAGTATGTACATCCAGTATGTAATATAAATGTGTAGAGGGGGGGGGGGGTGTACAGTGGGTGGTCATTGAAAATGTGTTCTGATATATAGTCTTCACAGAATTTGAGCCAAGGCCATTGAGTGTGGGTTTGAAAACATTATTGATGATATCATTTTTCTTTAGATAAATAATGAAAACGGGTCCCACAGACCCGAACACCATACAAGGGTTAAAGTTAACAAAAAAAAATAGTGTAAACATTTTTCAATGGTTCCCGTGAAATGTGCATCATATCAGATAGATAGATGACATGTGTATTTCTGCCAAATGCTCATATTTAGTTTTAAAGCCTTTATCTCCTAATGCTTATGACACGTACATCTGTTGCCATATTTCATATTGGCATGATGCCAGAATCACGAGGAACATACAATACATGTACTGTATGGTTATAGTATTCTACAGTGGTGGAAGAAATACTCTGATTATTTAATTAAGTAAAAGTATTAATATACGATTTTAAAGTACTCCGCTCCAAGTAAGTCCTGAATTGTAAATGTTATTAAATAGAAGTACAGAAGTATCATTAGCAACATATTATTATACGTTAAATCACTCAGTATGCATAATGGATTTTTTTACATAATTAAACATTTCCAGAATATTATATTATCTTGTTTCTATAATTAATAGATACATGTAGAACAGCGACGTGCAGTCAGTGGAGGCAGAGCCTCACCTGTCATACTCCAATGTAACGGAAAAACAACTAAAGAAAAACGAAATAGTAATAATAATAAAATGTCTCCACTGATCTGTGTTGTAAGTGTGATTTATGTATGATTCCAATCGCTTTTTATAGTCAAAATCAGCAAATTTGCCGAGCTCCGCTACGGGAGCGATGACAAGTGAGGCAGGGACGTGCTCTGCCTCTCGTAAGCCCACAGTAACTTGCTGGAGCGCGGGCACTAATTTAGCGCGGGCACTTATTTTGTGAGCACGCTCAAGCCAGTTACTGTGGGGTGAGGTGAGGCACAGATGAGATCTGCCTCACCTCAGAATGCGTCACCCCACAGAAACTGGCTGGAAAGCGGGCCCTAAGCGCATGCCTGTTACCATCTCACTGTAGGTCACCAATGTAATGTTTGTAGATCCCTTTATTACATTTATCCTCGCCATCCATAGTCTCTAAATAACTTATTTCACGTATATATGATATTTAGGCTCGCTGGTCTCAACGGCAATGAAAATGCACCAGGGGAGGCAGCCATAACCTCTGCCGCACTGAAGGGGGCGCACGTGAGCCCACAGGTTCTTGTTGCTACTGTAATTCTACGCAGAGACGGTAGACGTAACAACAAACTAGACTTTTGAAACTACAGGAAGATAAGGAGGACTTTTACAAAACAGTAATAGAGATTGTTGTCCAGAAGGATAGCATGGACTTCATCTTCAAGTCAAGGTAAGACCACATTTGTAATGAAAATGGGATCTTACTAAGAAAGAACAATCCAATATTTAGATTTTGGGTATCCTTTTGTTGAACGGTCTGTTTAAAATGAATCGAAGCATCAGACTAAAAAAGCTTTTGAAAATAACCGAATATTTCGATTAAGGTCAAAATATAATATTTGTAAATCTGACTCAGTGAGTCAGTGCCTCACCAGCCATAAACCTCACCGCACGTCACTGATGTAGAAGTATTTAAACATTTGAGTTTTTCAATGTGGGGCCAATTTTTGTACCATTTACTTTGACTTTGCAAAATACTGGGTATATTTGTAGGACGGTACTGCATCTTG